AGACCACTCCCAGCCCGGGAAATCCCCCATAGACCCAGGCCCAGAGCAGCATCTGAAAAGGACTGGCATGCAGGAGAGGTCTCTGTTGCCCTCTTCCTGTACTCAGTGCTGGGCCCTTCCTGCCTTTAGAATCCCAGAGCAGGAGCCAGGAGCAAGGAGGATGGCTCTGATCCCACGCTGGATCATCAGTCCTGGCTGACCAAGAGTTGCCTCTATTTGGCAAGCAAACATTTGCCCTAAGATCAATTGCCAATCAAGGTTTCATAATATCCAAGGGTATCTCAATTATTCAAGAACTGTGAAATTCCCAAAATGTTTAAGGTCACTTACACTTAAAAAAAAAAATCTTGTGCTATATCTTATGAGATAGCCTGTCACAATACCAAACAAATGACAACAAGCATCACTGTTCCTGAATCTGGCTGGAAACTACTGGCTTTAAAAAATCATAAAGACATTGGCTTGATACCAAAAACTGAGAAGCAAACTCATGACCACTGTGAACCTGGGAAGTCCAAATAATTTGGCACATTACTAACATTTGGGAAAACAATTCAGCAAAAGTCCAAAATGCTGAGAGGAACTGAACTGTGATCTGTACCCATCCTCCAGGTGGAAGAGAATAAAACAGAGTCCCAAAACTTTTTGTTAAAGATTGACTTACAAAATCAGAGGGAAGAAAGAAATGCAGCTGCCCGGACAGATATGAATTTCAGTTAATCATTTGATTCCAGTATCACACAATTTTCATCAAAAACAAGAATTCTCAGCAGCTGAGAAAGAACATGAGAGAGCATGAGAAGAGGCCAAGGAAGGCAAGGAGGGGGTGAAGGAGGGAAGCCAAAGAGGATGCACCCAAGAGAGGACAGAGCCTGTGGGCCCCAGAGGAGGTGCACCCTGGGGCTAGATCCCCTGCTGAGGGAGGAGCTCCTCCCCTAAGACGCAGGAGGCAGGCCTCAGATGAATTCAGCCTCATGATGGACTCTCTTCCACTGCCCATTTGTGCTATAGCAAGGCTGGGCTCGAGTCTCAGGAGGGAACTGTCTATCACCCAGGAAGAGGCCACCCTGCCACAAGTGCTTGGCTTCTGTTTCCCAGGAGCACTGGTGGTGACAAGACAATCTCTGCACATTCTTTGGCCGGGTGCCCACCTGCAGCCAAGGGCACGCCCTTCAAAGTGGCTGGGGCAGGGGTGGCAGCCAGAAGCATGTCCAGACTACTCCAGAAGCACCCCCATCAGCTGGGTCCCCTGAGCACTCATCCCTTGTGCAACTGCCCTGAGGCTTGGCTTGCCCAACACAACTAGGTAGCAGCACAAGCCCAACAGGAGCCCAGATCTTCCAACCACAACAACAGGCCTACAGCCCCTTCCACATTTCTTCGCAGTGCTATAGCAGAGGGAGTAAAACTGTGGGGAGAACCAGACCCCTCAGGAGACACAGCAATGAAGCCTATAAACCAAGAGACATGAGGCTCTTTGTCCTGTCAGGGGTAGCTTCTTAAGGGTGCAGAAGGGAAAAAAACAAAAGCCAGCCTAGACTCATAGGGAAACATAATCTGTGATTATAAATATTTCATGAGCAAAGAAAGTGGTATTGGTTGAGACACTGGGGTGGGGAGGGTGGACAGCAAATTAGATCCCAGTTTGCAAAGTGATAGGGCAGCTGGAAAAACTGCAAAGCTGAGGCTATTCTGGGCTGGGCGCTGGAAAGGCCTGCGTCACAGACGGAGAGCAGGCTCCGGCCACTCGGCTTTGTAGAAACCACAGCCTTCCAGTGGTCAGCACAGATCACCTTGGGAGGAGTGTTTAAACCCATGGAAGACCAGAGGAGGGGACACCAAGGACAATCATTTGAATGACCTGGGTAGCCTCTGTGGCAGCGGGTAACTAACTGAAAGAATGCGGCAGAGCTGCAGAACACTGCACACTCGTGAAAGGATCCATGCACTCTCCACTGACAAAGGGCACAGGAAGGAGTGAGTCTGACTCCAGAAAGCAGGGAACCTGTGAAGCAAGAGGGAGGGCAGCTCAGGAAAGAGCAAAGGCCCAGCCCCTGAGCTGGTGATGCCTGCCTGAGAATCACAATTCTGTTTTCCTTTCCAGGAGGGTTCTCCCCACCACTACCCCTCTCCTGCGAACCTCCAGGAACAGCCTGGAGAACAGAGAAGTGACGAGCTCACTGAGTACTAGCCACTGCAGCTGCAGAGACACTCACCACTGACAAAGCAGGTCCTGGTCTGTGTGTGGGTCCTCCTCCTCCGCTACGGCCACCCACTGCAGCAAAGCATGCCAGCCACAGACTCTAGCGGCCCTTTCAGAGGGCCAGATGGAAAGGAACCTTGGGTACCCATGGGTACATTGAATCAGAGTCAGTCAGAGGAACCCTGGGGAGGGGGGGGCGGTGTCCATCTCAACTAGGAAGACAGAAAACTACTAGCCCTCCCATCCTTGCAGTCGAGCCTTAGCAGGCAACAGGCTCCAGGGTATACCCAGTGACTTCAGAAAACTCAAACTCTCCTCTAGGATCATAGCTAGAGATCAACTCAAGGTGGAAAGGTCTCATCAAACACAAAAGTCAGACCCCATAATGTGAGAAGACCCCTCAGGTAAAGTCCCAGGATCTAAGCTCAAGACCAGTTTTTCCCACCTATTAGTTTTAAGACCCTGTGAAATTATCTAGGAAACTCAGCGTCCTCATCTAAAACATCATTAAAAAACATCTAAAGGACCAGTGCCTGCCAAACCTAGGGACTGGGAGGGACCCAAGAATAGACATATACGTAAATACTTTCAAAACAGATACTAAGTGCCATTCCAATTTAAGAGATCATTTGCATCCAGCTACCTACTTGATTCCTCTTGGATGTCTCAAAGGCACCCTTATCCAGATGCCCCCAACAGCTCCCACCCACCCCACCCCCAGACCTCTTCTAGGGCCCTCCCCCCTCACTACCTGGTAGGACTAACCATCCAGGCATGGCAGTCAGAAACCTGGAACCCGTTCCTCTTCTCCACCGTCTTAATGTACCACCAAGCCCAGTCAACTGCACCTCCTAAAGACTTCTACTTCCCTCTCTCATCACCATCCCTCTCCAACTCTTGGTCATCTTCACAGGGTCTGCTGCAAAGCCTATGCTAGCCATTCTGGCCTCCCTCAGCCTGTCCATAGAGCAAATCTAGGCCAATATCTCCCACCACTCCTACTCCACATGCTAAATTTCCCACAACAGTACGCCAATGCCCTCAGGACAAGGAAAGCTGCCTAGGGCTTATGAAGCCCTGCACAGCCTGGCCCTGGTCCTCCCTTCATCCTACACCACACCCTGACTCACTCTCCCTGCTCCAGCCACACTGGCTTTTTCACTGCTGCCACAGGGGTTTTGCACATGCTCTTCCCTTTGCCTGGAACATTTCCCCCTCCTTTCTTGACTACCTAATGCCTAACCATTCATTTTTGCTAAGGTATAAAGTACACAGAGTACACTACTATGTACAGGTCAATAATTATTTACAGATGTATACATTCCCATAACTCTCATCTAGATCTAGATTGAGAACACTTCCAATATCCTTAAGTTCCCCTCATCCCCAGCCCCTAGGTAACCATTATTCTGACTTCTATCACTTCTATTCATTCCTCAGAAAGCTGCTGATACAACCCTTTCTCAAGGAAGCTGCCTCTAATCCCTCAGAAAAAGTCTAACCCTGCTAGCACAGGCACTTTCACACTTGAGGATTTGCATTTGAGTAATTATGTGACCTGTGTGGATTTTCCCCAGGAACACTGTAAGCTCCATGAGGGCAAGGACCTCATCTACTTGTACTCACCGCTGTTTCTCAAGGCAGGCATGCAGAGTAATAACAAAAGAAATTAGCTAATACCTCTCAAGTACTTATTATTGCCAGGCACTTATAGGCACTATCTCACTGACTTCTCCCATCATTCCTACCAAATAGGTGCCATTATTATATCCCCATTTTACAGGTGAGGATACTGAGAGACAGAGAAATTAAATAACTTGCCCAAAATCATTAAGTGGTAAGTAGTGGAGTCAGGATTCAAACCCAGGTAGTCTGGCTACAGAGCCTGTGTTATTAATCATTATGTTACTCTGACCCTCAGAGGCCACTGGAATATATAATGAATGTGTGCCCAGAATATTTTGAGTGAATAAATGAATGTTATAAATGAGTTGATGAGATTTCATTAAAGGAACTAAGGGAGCCACCAAATCTCCCCCAGATGAACAAATAAAGGGACTCACCTACACAGGCCCAAGATTAGGTCATCTGCAAAACAAAAGGTCTAGTCCATTTCCCTAGCAGTCAAGGGAAGCAGCTTTCTACTACAGAACACAGAGGAGTGTCTTGGCCCCTAGCACAGGGTATTCCACAGTATAAAAAGGATCACTGTCTGGGCTCTAGTGAAGCCTGAAGGCAATGTTCCACTAGATGAATCAAGTGCCTCTGTCATTATTCATGCTAACCTATAATCTTCAGGGGGCAGCCTGGGTGGCTCAGTGGTTTAGCACCGCTTTCAGCCCAGGGCATGATCCTGGAGACCTGGGATCGAGTCCCACGTCAGGCTCCCTGCATGGAGCCTGCTTCTCCCTCCATGTCTCTGCCTCTTTCTTTCTTTCTCTCTCTCTCTCTCTCTCTCTGTGTCTCTCATGAATAAATAAAATCTTTTTTTAAAAAAAAACTATAACCTTCATAACCATCTAGTATCTTGAGCCCTCTGACACAGAAAGAGGATACTCTGAGTGGCAAAAAAATTAAAATAAAAAATTAAAAAGCCTGCCTGATTAGAAAACGAGAGAGTCCAACTGTACATTTATGAACTGGAATTTGGTTTGTACCTCCGTTTTCCAGAGCTTGATAATCCTGGATGAGCTCATACCTCATGCCATCTGTGTGGCCAGACAAGGGTTGGCCACCTTTTAACTGCTTCGGTGCCATTCACCTCATGACTACATCCCAGAAAGCTCAGAAAGAAACATAAATGAAAAGGTTTATTTTTTCATAGGACACTGTTCCCCAGCCAAGGGGGCCCGGAGTGCCCTCCCCTGAATTCCCCTGCAGCCAGCGGCCTGAGCCCCACTCACACAAAGTTCTGAGCAATGGCCAGCACCTTGGAAAATTCGCCTTCCCTCTGGCGAAGGCTGGTAGGGATGGGTATCTTAATTCGAGTGCCCACAGGGTTACCATTGTCCTCAATGAGGACCACGTTGTTGGAGTCGAACCTGGGGGTCATCTGGGGGCCAGGCATGCGATGCCCCACAATGAGCGCCTTTTTCTTCTGTCCCTTGATGGCCAGCAGTATCCGGTCGCCCACCTTGCCCACCCCACTCTTGTTATAAACATGGATGCAACGAGGAGGGCGATGGTACGGAGTATTCCCCAGGGCACTGTTGTCCACCACACGGACCCGTGTCATCTTCTGAATTGCACTGAAGCTCCCAGTGGTGCTGGGGAAAGAGAAAAAAAGTCTTAGGTCTGTCTCTCTCCCGGTCAGGGTGCAGAGGCCCCTGAGGCCAAGGCCTGGGAGAGATCCATGTTAGCAATGACATGCTGAGCAGAGCAAAACCCAGGGCCCTGACAGAAAGTCAGGTGCTTGTGAAGACTTTTCTGTGCCCAAGACAGCTTCCTCACAATCAAAAGCTTCTGCTGCTGGGTCAACTTTCCAATTTGGAAGGATTTTAAAGACAGCCCAACTTTCTGTTACAACGAACTTCATGGCAGCCTAACTGAAAGCCTTTGGTATCCAAAAAAACTCTGAGGATTAAGGGAATATTTTATGGGCCAGGCCACACCTATTGCCTAGCCTGTAAAACCTGCTCCCCCAGAATAAACTGATTCCCAAACTTCCCATCTATGTGCTGCTGGGAACCAGGTGATAGGAGTAAGTAGGTTGGCTAAGGGAGTCCCCTGACATGATAGAAGAAACCAGAAATAAGTCAAGGTTTCAATGCCATTTCCCCCATTAGAATGGAACTTTTTTTTTTAAGCAGTACCTAATTAAAGGCAGAGACGCTATTGTTAAGCAATCTGATAACAGTGGGATTTCTATTTTCCCAAAGCCAGCACTTTAAATGCTAGCATTCTCCAGGATAATCCTAGGCTCTCCCCTCGTATCCCACATGCCTACTCGGGGGAAGTTTTATTTATTCCCTTTGCTTCCAACTAGTAAATCCCATCTCCAGCCTTACTCCTCGCCTATATTCTGGCCCTACATTTCCACTCTCAGTTCCCAACATGTCCCACTGATACTGTAGACTCACTAGGTCCCACGCTGACCTCATCATCTCCCCTTGCAAACCTCCCCATGCTGCTACATTTCTGATCTACATAATGGTTTCTCTAGCCTCCAAGCCATAAATCTCTCTCTCCATCAACACTCTGGCTGCCAAGTCCTATTGATACTACCTGTGAAGCTCTTCTGTCCTTTCCCTCCACCTCCACCAATACTTCTCAGTTTGGCAGCTTTCTCTCTTACACCAAGACTGTTACATTTGTGTCTTGTGTTGCCAGCCAAGAGCTCTTTTAGGACATAAAACTGAGACCACTCCCCTTAGAACTGCTGAATGGTCCACCATTGTCTACAGTATTGACCTGGCCCCACTTACCTGCCCTCTGAGGACCATAGAGTACCTTGTGCCCTCCAGGCACGCCAAACCTCTCAGCCCTCTCTGGAGGCCTGGACAGGGCCTGCTCCCACTTCCCTTCTGGGAAGGCTGCCTCTGCTCTCCTTTCCTCCTCCTCCATTAGCAGCTCGGGTCTCAAGCTATCCAAAGTACCGTACAAACCTCTATTATTATACTGGTCACATTTCCTCAGACTTATTTGTTTCCAAGTTTGCTCCTGTGGCCAACTGTGAAGACTCTTTCAGCACAGGAAGCAATTCTTATTCATCTATGACCAACCCTAGGCGCAGTGCTCAGTAAATGCCAGGGAGTAAGTGCACAAATGGGGCCAGGAGGCATGTTTGCCGACAAGAACGAACCCCATGCTCTGTGTCCTAGCTTAGCATCTAAAAGGAGGGGAGGCTGTCACACTTCTATCATGCCAGAGTCTTGGTAATAAGCATATAACATTTTAAAAAGAGCTTCTGTTTTTAAAAAAGGGTTTTCAAGCATGGGGGGAATGACAGGGTTGAAATATGTTGGGGTCACTATAAATCTGGCAAGGACTGAAGTTTCATCTACTGTAGGCCATTCCCTCTCCAATAGCAAAGCCACCTCCTTACCAATCCTCTTACCCAACTTGACCAAACCCCAGCTGCTCTGGCCCCTTTAGTTTTCCCAGATGCCAAGCCTACCTCTCTTCATTCCCACTCCCTTTCTAGTCACATAATACCCATCCCTGATGGGAGGTTTACTCCAAGACACAGCTCTAAGAACTGAATGGGAAAGTTACCTGAAACTGCGCTGGCTGAATGCTCTGCTTGCATGAGTGAAGGGGCCCCAGAACCCAGCAAAAAAAGCCATGGCAAATCCTGCAGGAAAAGAAGGGGAAAGGATTTATTTCTAAATCAGTGTCCTTCCCTACTCAGAGCCAGCCTGCCAAGGAGATGTGGGAGATGGTACTTCTAGCGTAAGATCATTAGTCACTAAATATAAATCTTAGTGGTTAAAAGATCGCAGATGATTAGATCGAACTCCAGCTACAGTTTTGCTGATTCATATTCTAACTGGGGTCAGAGAGTTGGAACGGCCCACAGCAGTTCTTGCTATAATACAATAGCACAGAGGATGCCTTCCTGGTTACATCACTTCCACAGACAGGAAGAAAGCAGGAATCCTCTGGTATACACCCAACTAGTGACCCCTCCCCAAGTCCTCCAGAGGCCTGCATACTAGTGCCACCATTGACACTCAGGTGCCTCCTGAAGTCTGAACTTCACTCCCTAAAAGAAAACTGCCCGAGCAGTGGCTGTATTATCTTGTCACCACATTACCTTTCCCCAAATATAAAAGCCAGAACACTTGGGTAGCTCAGGGCTAGCCAAGTAGAGCCAAAGGATGTCCTTGCCAAGTCAATCACCAAAGCCGCTATCTGGGTCAGTATCCCAAACAACAATGTAACAAGGAAAAACTACCTGCCCCACACTACAGCTGAAAGCAGAGTTTGGGAGAACAAGTTGGAGATAAAAGGACAAACCCCAACCCAACACCAATGCCTCCAACTTGGAGAACCTCAACCCTGTGGCTCCCTAGCACCAACAAATATGGCAACCCCAGCTGCCCGCCAACACTTGGGCATCAGTTAGGGTCATGTGTAAGAAAATCCTACAGCCAGCTGCAAAACATGCCTGTTCTATCCAAACGTTTGGCTGCAGATGGCCTCATGGAGAACTCTGCTGAGAAAGACCTCTACCACACACAGCCTTCCCTCACCTAAGTTCAAAGCACCTCAGATAAGATTTTATTTAATAAGGGTGGGAGAGGGAGCCACTATTTACTTCCAAAGAAATATCCAGACACTCCAGAAATGTTTATTAACTACAATTTAGCCTCAAATCACAAGCTTAGTCACCAGTGTTTTCCATAAGACAACTCAGGAAGCACTGGCCAAAATGTAACTATGATCAGAAAAGTAATTGCAAAAGGCAGCAGTGAACTTATAGAACTATCAACATCTGACACATTGAATCAAAGACTAGCAGACGAGGCCAGCTTTACCTTTAAAGCTAGGTGACCTGGGACAAGAACTCTTGAGCTTTGACTTCCCCATCTGCAATAACTACTCACAGCTGGTCATGGGATAAGCTGTATGAAGCACGGAGCACAGTCCCTGACACTCAGCACCTACTGGCTGTCTCTGTCGCCATCATCATGGCCCATCCAATTACATCTCGTCTTACAGATGAGGAAACAGAGATACAGAGAGACTACAGAGTGATGAAGTGACTTGTGTGAAGACTCACAGCTAGCCACAGGCAAACCCAGAACCAGGCCTAGCCTCAGTCCAAGGGTCTTCCCCAACACCTTATAGCTTCACCCAGCTCACTTTCTTGCAGGCGAGTTCAGGGTGAGCAGCAGATTTAAGGGTCATCTGGTCTGCTTATGTTTTCTTTTTTTTTTTTAATTTTTTTTTAAAGATTTTATTTATTTATTCATGAGAGAGAGAGAGAGGCAGAGACACAGGTAGAGGGAGAAGCAGACTCCTCACAGGAGCCCGATGTGAGACTTGATCCTGGAACTCCAGGATCACGCCCTGAGCCAAAAGTAGACACTCAACCACTGAGCCACCCAGGCATCCGTTTTCTTTCTTTTTGAAAATTTAGCCAATAGTTATAACACACCAGGAACTAGACTAAGGGCTTTACGTTATCCTCTCATTTAAACTTCACAAAAACTCTACGGAACAGGCATTAGTATTAGCCTCATTTCACACATGAGGAAATAAGGCCCGTTGAGGTCAGAGAATTCGCCCAAGGTCACACAGCCAGGAATGACAAAGGTGAAATCTGAACCCCAGTAGTTGGGCTTCCCAAACCCAAGCTCTTACTCAACAGCTAACATGCATGGTTTAACTTTAAATATTAATATTTTTCCTACTGTGAATTCATCTTTGTTCCATCACTGGTATCACAGGCATATTTTCCTCTTGCCCAACTCAACGCTTGCTGAATCAACTGAAATGTATAAACACCAGGTGAAAATTACTCATTTTAATCCGATTTAAGTTTTGAAGACAATGTGTAGTGTGGGTGGCAAGAATAGCTCCAGACTGAACAATAACTAAAAACCAGCCTTAAAAAAATTTTTTTTAAAGGCTCTGAAAAGCAGTCCATCTGGTCCAGGGTGCAGGGACCTCTGATGTCAGCCAAGCTTTCCCATCTGACTCTAGCGGGCCCTTGTTCTCACTCCCAGGAAGAGGCTCCTCAGCTCCTCCACAGAACCCTCAAGATTAGCCCAGCACCACCCACCCACATTCCCTCTCCTGAGAACTGCAACACCCTCCCTCTCCACACTGCACCTCTTCCTCAATAACACTTATGTTAATCCAAGGACTGCCAAAGTGCTGGGGGCTTCCCAGAACTTTCCCGACTTGGGTCCAACAAACCCACGATTCAAGGCACCTCTCTCCAATCTGTTGGGCAGCCTGGGCACAGACCCAAACCCAGACCTCTTCTCCATGCCTTGCTCATAAGCCACCCCCACAACCTATGCCCATCTCTGCCCAGCTAAATCTGACCCAGCGCCAAATGCATCTCCTCCAGGAAGCTTTGTGTAAAATTGCAGCATCACTTGCTACCCCTCTTGCACATTGAGGACACTGGGGGATCCCGTGCCAGAGAAACTCTCATAGCTCCAATGTTCACTATCCAAACTCAGTCACTGCATAAATTTAGATACTTTTTTTGAGATAAGGCTGATAACTCTTAACATTCTAGTTCTTGCTACTCATTCTCCAAAATTCAGGAACCAGAGATCTTGGTAACATGGCACCTGAACTCACACAAGAATTCACAGATCATATAGACTCAGATCATAAGGATTATGTGTAGTGCCCTCAGACACAGGAGCAACACACTCATATCTCCAGGGGGTGCTTCCATTTTCACAAGGTCCAATTCAAAGACTTTTCACTAGCTCTTTAGTGGATTTGATAGTGACTGCCGCCACACCCAAAGGACTTAAGACATCCAGTGAACAACAGTAAGCATTCTCATGAACAAGAAAGCACAGAACCAAATATGTTCACTTACTGTATACATGTCCCTTGTTTCTTTAAAATAACAAAAACAAAAACCTATGGTCCCCTCCACTCCCACTCCAGCAAAAGACCCCAGCAAGTCTTGATAGGGTAGGAACACAATGAATATTTGTTGAATAAAATAAATGAGGTAGCCAACAGAAAAACAGAATCCCTTCACCTATGGCTCCACACAGAAGGAAAGCCAGATCCTGTAGAGCTCTTACCTGTGTATCAGGAACCAGGACATCACATGCAAGCATACTTTAGGAGAACCACAGCGCCAGTCATGGGAGGATTAGCCCATGCCATGTTTACAAGCCCCTAGAATCATCTCCTGGGCCTGGTGCCTACAATGCCCACTGGTCTTTCTTGTGTCCTTCATTCAGGCTCTCAGTGACTTGGGGAAGCCTCCCTGACAAAGAAAAACACCTCATCCCACCACTAAATAACTGGTTTGGATCAGACAAGAGTAATGGAGGCAGCAATATACTTCAAAGCAACTCTGACTGACCTTGATGCTATTTCTCAGCATAAATCCATCAGCAGACATAGGCCCTGATTCACTTCAGAGCAGTCTATATATAATGCTTTGTTTCACAAGCAATGTCATTCTGAGTCTTGTATTTGCACAGGAAAAAAACCCCAATGACATTTCCTCCTCCACGACCCTCTCACTCAGAGGTCAACTATTCAGGAGACTCCAGTGCCAGAGATGGCTTTTCATGCCACTTCCTGGTCAGCATCAAGTATTGCCCTCCAGGTTTAGAATATGAATCACAACCTCTCTGGAGGGGGGGGGGGGGAGCAAGAGAAGGAAGGAAGCAAGGAAGGAGGGAGGGAGGGGGGGGGAGGGAGGGAATGAAAGAGAGAGATTACTTCATACAATCCAAGAATTGTGTTCATTTTCCATCCTGGTTTAGCTTTAAGATCTCCCTTCCATTTTGAAGGCCAGGGAGGGCTGTAAGTTTCAGGGACACACAGGTGAACATTTTACCTGGCAACACCTTATAGGTCCCATTGGAAATACACTCAGTGAGAGCAGCGACCAGGTCTGCACTGCTCAGTACTACACACTAGAGAACTCAGTGTAATTGCACGCAAATGGAATTTACTAAGTATCTATTAAAAGAATACAATTCAATCTGCAATTGCAATTCATGCTCCAGTTCCAGAGAGGCTCCATAATGGAGGGGTTGGTGGTCTTTCTTGTGTCCTTCACTCAGGCTCCCAGTGACTTGGGAAAGCCTCCTAGACAAGGGGAACTTCACGTTTAGTGAATATTAACACACAGAGACTGAGCTGGAAAAGCAGACAGAAAGAGCCTATACCTCTGGTGCTTTCAGGAAAGCAAGAATGTACCACTTGAGCAAGGATCAGCAAAATGGTATACTTAGTATCAGAGATATATACATGCATACAGGGGATCCCTGGGTGGCTCAGTGGTTTAGTGCCTGCCTTCAGCCCAGGCCCTGATCCTGGAGTCTGCGGATAGAGTCCCACATCAGGCTCCTTGCATGGAGCCTGCTTCTCACTCTGCCTGTGCCTCTAGCATGCGCTCTCTCTCTCTATCACGAATAAATAAATAACATCGTAAAAAAATAAGAGATATACATGCATACATATATATTGTCTCTACCTGAACAATTTCCATCTTTAAGTGCCTGAACATGTTAAGTACATTTTAAAGGACTCTCAAGAGGAATAGACTCTAAAAATAGAGACCAAAAAAAAAAAAAATTCAGCACAATCACAAAGGTGTTTTCAAAGGACATTGTCAGTAACTGAAAAGAA